TATTTTCCTATAAAAAAAAATAAATAAGGGATATAAATTAATAAGTCAATAAAGACAATAGTGGTAGTCCACACACAAAAATATAAGTCATAATAAGATGCTTGAAGTTTACAAAGGATAACTTAAGCTAAGATTGCTTCAAATTTAAACAAATGGCTTGGTAGCATAACAACCTTACAACATAAAACATAAATATTCTCCATAGAAACCTTATGTGCCATATTACTACTCTTTTCCTACATGCTATAAGAATGGCTAAAGCAAAAACAATAAATAAAAACACAGTTAATGTATGGCCTAGACATTACCATGCTTTAGTAATAAAATACCAAATCCAATGTAACTATAAATCAAGCTAAGATAGAAAGAAAGGCTTAGAAAAATATAGATATGGAATGTAAAACAAAATAGTATGCATCACAATGTGTGCAGGAGGATATCTTATAACTAATTACAAACCTGAATTGAATCCAACTCAACTTGTTGTAGGTTGTTCTCAACACCTTTTATGTACTCCCTTAATTTTGTACCTTTAGACAATATGTTGGCAACCGTCTACAATATATATCTAAGGGAAAAACATATAAGTCTATATAGCTTAACCAACTCAATTTGCTAAACATAGTACACCACTGAACAAGAAATTATTTCATTTTTCATCATTACATGTGTGGTCTAAACAAATCTTAAAACATTAGGGTCTAAAAGTAAATAGTACAAAAATTACTTACATCATCATTTTTGCATTCTTTCAATTTTTGTTGAAGCCTTTCCAATGATATATCATCACTACAAACAAGAAAAATGAAAATAAAATGTTAATACTCTGATGAAAAAGAAGTCATTTTGTTGTCAGACTTAAGAGTTTTAAGAAATTAAAAGGATAAAAAGAACCTACTAGTCCTCAACAATCAAGTCTCAAACAAATGCTCGTAAACCAAACACATTTTTTAGGGTCTCATTTGGGTGAGTCTAAAAAGATTGATAAGATAGAATTGTAATACTAACATATTTATAACACACAGTAAAACCCTAAAGTCTCAAAGAAAATTCAATTAAAACAAAATGAAAAACTACTGCATTATTTTTTACAACATCCGTCATGTTGTCGATACCCAATAGCTTAGTAGCTAAACTCTAACTAAAATAAAATTTAATTAAGCTAAAATTAGTTCTTTTTTTTCTAGGCAATGAAAAATTATTTTTAACTCATTGTTTGCAATTTGTATCTCAGATAGCTAATAAAGATTAAGAAAATTCAATTAAAATTCAAATAGAGTTGTAAAATTTTGTAAAATTGAAAAAATTACAAAAGATTTAGAAAAAAATAAAAAATAGGGAAGAAGCTTCCAGAGGCCTACTTATCAAGTTCCATGAACCAAAATACAGATCCTAAGTAAAAATGAGTACATTACTTGGTTTGATCAATCAAAGATAGTAGCAGATGAGGTTGATCTAATCTCTCTTTTTCACTCTCTACTTAGTCTCACTTCAATTCATTTATATAATAATCATCGCAAATAACTAAAATCTATATATTTAATCTATAAGTGAATAATATATACAATTCATCAATTTCTAGTGATTTAAGTAATTGTTTTGCTCTCAACAGGAAAGAGATGAAATGATGGAAGAAAGAAAGAGAAAGCCTTTCACTTGTGAGAGAAGAGAACTAGAGGAATCAGTGACGAAAACACTAGTAAAAGATAAAGGGTCGCTTGGTTTGAAGGCAAGGAAAAAAGGAAGAGCGGTGGCTAAAATGAAAATGAAGACTGTTAGAATATGAGAAACAAAGGAGAAGAGATAGAGTAAGGCAGCATTCGTCGTTACCGGATCTAGTCTTTGACGGTTAGATTTGGGTTTGCAGAAGGGGTTGGAAAATAGGGGAGAGAAAGGAGATGACAAAGAAAGAAAAGTATAAGAAAATGAAAACAAAATCAAAAAGTTGTATGAAATGTCATATCAGTTCATCTATACACCCGCCGAGATCACTTGCAATGTAAAATTAATTAAATTTAATATTACTTACATTTTACTAATTTAAATGTTGAATTTTATTATTTAGATTAAGCATATCAAATTTTAAGTCAATTTAAATTATTTAATTATTTATTTGATAATAATAAAATTTTAATTTTTAATATTATATTGAAAAATATATTATTTTGGAATAAAATTATAAAAATACTAAATTAATTTAAAATTTTATGTACATGGTCAATACAAATAAATATAATTACTTGTTCAAAAAATGATAGAAATTATAACTATATTTATTAAAATTAAATTAAATAATCACTCAAAAGTTAATATTTCAACTGTTGAGTCTTTTAGGTTAATGTTGGACCAATCAAAATATTTTAAAATATTATAAAAATATTATATAAACTTAAAATTATGATATAAAATTGAAAATATCTATTATCATTTAAAAACATACAAAAAAAAGACTTAGCTCACAAAATTCTTTTTGTACTTGTTAATTTTTATAATTATATATTTTTACTTTTAACTTCTTTTAAGAAAATAATCATTTTTAGTGAAAATTATCTAAAAATAATTTTAAATTAAAAATGATTTGAAAATCATAATATTTAATTGACTCAAATGAATAAATAACCTAATAAATCATTACCTTTTTCATATCTTGCGGATCAAAGAATTTTCTCAAATCAATTGCACAAATCCAATTAAAGTATCTAATTAAGATGAAGGTTGAGTCATTAAGTCAAAATATCATATTATTTAGATTTGATAACTGTGATTATAATAACTATTTCAATCAATGTATAAGATAAGAAAAAAAATAGGTAATATTTATGAGAAATCACTGCAAATCAATGTTTTCTTTTATTAATGTGCTAAAGTTATGTTGTAGTTTGTAAATATTTATTTATATGCAAATATTGATGATGAATTTTCAATATTAACAATTTGAAATATTTTTATTAAGAAACTTTTTACAATTATTATTTAATAAAAAAAAAAACAAAATTGATGATATACAAATTGTTTTTGTAATAAAAAATAATTTCTTAAATTTGTCAATATAAATGGTGACAAACTAGTTTCTTGTCACTAAAAATTTCACACTAGTAACAATTTTAATTGTCATAATAGTAAATTTGTTATTGTGATGACATATAATTGAGACTAATTTGTTATGTTTAACTGTAACAAAAATTTTCACAACAAAAACTAAATTATAAAGTGACAAGCAATTTTTATTGTCACAACAATATTCAAAAGTAGTGACAACTTTATATGTGGTCACTAATATATTATTCCCGGCAAAAAATCAATTGGTGACAATTTATGTATTTTATTAGTAACAAATCTTTAGTGACAAACTATTTTATGTTATAATAATTCTATTATAGTGACAATTTAATTGTAAAGAAACTTATACTGTCACAATTACTATTATAATAGTGACCAAATAATGATAAATCACAATTATTTATGACAATAGTGTCACACAAAAATTTTGTCACGATAAACCTAATATTTGTGACAAAATTGCTAATGGTCACAAGAAAATTGTCACTAAAAATCTTAATTGTTGTAGTGTATATTTCTTTAAAAAAAAAAAAAAGATGCCATGAACATTAAAGTGATGCCTCAAAAGTCAAAGTTTTAAAAAGTGCTCTCAATTGTTCAAAGTCCAAGAAAAATCAAAGAAAGTAAGCTTAGAGTTTTGAGCTTAAAATTTCTTTTTTTTTCATCTTAACCTAAGCCTTACATTACAAGCCTAAAAAACTTTTTGATCTTGAGTCAAGTATGAAGTCTAACATTAGTGGAAAGGGAAGGGAAAATAAACATATAAAATCTATTCGATCTTTAAATTAAAATGTGATGAAGTGTTTTGCATTCTTTTTACTTAAGTTATATGCATGAATTAAAGATTGAGCAGATGTATATGTGGAATGACCATAAAATATTGGGAGCTTGTTTTTGAAGGAATTTCTTGTAACTCTATATTTTATAGCTAACTTTGTATTATGCAATAGTACATGATACGAATTTTATGTAATTTTGATTTTGTGAGTAAGTATAATGATTTTTAGTTTTATTGATTTAAGATTTTTGCTTTAGGACAAGCAAAGATTTAAGTGTAAGGGTATATAATATCACCTAAAAATATAGTATTTTTACATGTTAAAATGGGTGCAAAAATTTAAAATTTAATTGAGTTTTAGTGCCTTAATGCCTATTTTGTGATTTTTAGGATTTTAAACTTATGGATGAGGAAAGCATGCAATCCATGGATGCAGAGACATATTCAGCCATGCAAGACCAAAGGTGGGGCGAACCTCATTGGTATAATCCTTTCAACCATGCAACAAAAAAAGAGTTTTACTTACAAATGGACTCTCCCTTGTATTCAACCAAATAGATTTACTTCAAGAGTGATTCTTTTACTTAGTCATGAAAGAATTTTGCTTGCATAAGGACTCTATATGCATTTGACTAACTAACTTTTCAAAGACCTTAGCTATGAGTGTCTTAACCTAGTTTGATCGGATTCATTACTATAACTCTTTGTGAGAATGTTATTTATATTGGTAAGATCATTGACGTGGGTTTGATGGCCAAGTTATCATCTTCAAACTCTGTTTTCGTGTCATCGTTGTCAAAATGGTAAATGGGTTGAAGGTAAGATCTAGTGTTGGCTCCTAAAAGGGGTCTTTGTCTGAAACCAATGGTCGGATAATGTGTAGATTTTGATATTTACGTTAAGCTTTAACGGGTCATGTAAAAAATTAAAAAGGTTGATCTTCTTAGTAAATTTTAATAGGCTTCAATAGTTGGGCCATTAAAGCACCTGCAGCTCAGTTGTTTCACCGGATGAGTTTGGCCCAAACCTGATTTATTCCTTTGGGCTTTAGGGCATTATACACGTGTCCACTTAGAATCAATCCACGAGGATTTGGTTGGCATACCTGACCTGACCTAACAGTAACGTTATCTTTCGTTTTTTTGGTCAACAATGTTAATCCTTATTATTATCATCATCGTTTTTTTATTCTTCGTTTATTTGAAATTTTGGAAAGAAAAAAAATAAGCAACTGTATATGCTTCTTTGGACTGTTCTTCAAGGTTCTCTTTTTCGGTTTTTCGTTTCTTTTTCATCATCTCTCTCTCACCGCTTTCCTTCCTTTCTTATAAACCGTAATCTCATCTCCGTTTCGGATCTTAACCTTAACTACTCTCACCTTTAATTGCATAAAAAAATCACTGCTTTTTTCTCGATATTTTTCTCTTTTGTTCAGGTAATTGTTTTTAATTTTATCGTTAAATATTTTTTTTTGTTGATGATAAATTTGCCGTTTCTCCGGAATTTGTTATGAAAATGATGATTTTGGCTTTATTTTGATTTTTGAACGTTGATCTATATATATATATAGATGTGTGTGTGTGTGTGCGTGTGTTCGAATTTTAATATTTTTTCTGTTGTATTAGAATTAAATATTTTTTTAATTTTCGTCTTTGCATGTGTTTTTTTTTTTTTTTTTTAATTCAGATTTCTTTATTGTTTTCAACTATGGGGAGAGTAATAAATTCAAGTTGCTGGTTAATTAAATTCTTTTTGTTCCTTAAATTGATTCCAAATTAGATTGTCCTTTTAGTAGTATTAGGTATAATTAGAGCTAATTAACTTAATAAATACCTTGTCATTGGAAGGGAAATCTAGAAAAACCAAGCATCTGAGAAATGAGTTAGGTTGGATATGTCAAATTGATTGATAAAAGTTCTGTTTTTTTTATTTTGTTTTGAGGCTAAAGATTCAAACTTTTATTTCTGGCTTAAAATTCAAGAAGAAAAAAAAAAGGGAAAAGCAGAGCCATATTCTTTTTTTTCTAGATTTTTTGGAAGAATGTGTTTTTATTGTTTCCAATTTAAGCTTACCAACAGCAAAATTTTTGTAGCAATTTCGTTTTTATTGATGCTGAATATCTGACCTTTCTCCAGGTTTCCTTTAAAAAGGAAATAAAGAGCAATGTCTTTTGCACGGAATTGCCATTTGCAAGGGGGCATTTTTCAGGATGATTACCGGTACCCTTTCAATAGAAATAATTACAACAATAACAGTTCCAATAACTACAGGAACTGGAATTGGATTAGCAATCCTACCAGGAATTTTAACTACTCCCATGAATTTTTGGGGCAATTTGGGGGGCATAATAGAGGTTATAATTATGCACAGCTGAATTATGCTCCTTCTTTAAAAAGAAGAAAGTTTTCAGCAGCTACTTCAGGAGATAGTGGTAGACACTATCCACAATCGAATATGCATTACACTGCTGGTCAATTGGACTCCAGCGATTTCATTCCTCCTACCATAAGGTCAAATGCTGTAACCTCTACATCTGTCAGCTGTAAACGTGATCGGTCACAATTGGAGGATGATGAACCTGTATTTCTTTCTAGAGATGAGATTGAGAGATATTCACCTTCAAGAAGAGATGGTATTGATGCCCTACATGAAACACATCTGCGCTATTCCTATTGTGCCTTCATTCAGAATCTCGGTTTGCAGCTTGAGTTGTGAGCTCTTGATCTTGATGTGTTTCTCGGTTTTGCTATTTCCTTAACCTTGTTCTTTAAATCATATATGCATTTTTCTGATGTAACCGAATCCATGTTGTGTTTTGCAGGCCACAAACTACTATTGGCACTGCCATGGTTCTGTGCCATCGGTTTTTTGTCCAAAGATCACATGCTTGCCATGATAGATTTGTGAGTTCCAAATACTTATGCTTAAGGAATTTATTTATTTTTTATTTATGGAAAATTATCCTATACACTGCTAATGGAGTTTTTGAACTCAAATAGTGGAGTTAAAAAGTTAACGTGTTTCCACATTATGTTGATAGATTGGTAAGAGAAAACTTTTTGTTGCTTTTGTAACTAGGCTCAAGTTCTGTTCCATTTTCCTGACACCCCCTCTCCTTTCGAGCTAATGCGGTTTTTAGTTGTTTAGAATTTTTATTCCTGAAAGGGCTAAGAATTCTAAATTCTTAAACTTGTGGAAGGTTGGTATTCTGTTGATTGCTTGACCATGTTGTTATGCTTTGAATAGTTTTCTCAATATGTTTCAGCTAGAAGTTATATGCTCTTATATCATGAAGCTGTTGAGGTTTAGGTCAAGTTGAGTTTGGTTAAGTGTTCTATCACCATTTTTATCACATCAAGGAGAAAATTTTCAGTTATAGATAATTCATGTATGCTGGTTGACTTGCAATGAAAAGCTCCATCACCATTTATTTTGGTTCTGTTGCAGTTGATTGCTACTGCTGCTCTTTTTCTTGCTGCAAAGTCTGAGGAGACACCTCGCCCTTTGAACAATGTGTTGAGAGCATCTTGTGAAATATTCCACAAGCAGGATATTACATTCTTATCCTATCTGCTTCCTGTTGTAAGTACCTTTGGAACTTCTGCTAATTTTTCCTAGCTAAGAAATGTAAAAGGAATTAAATTTTTAGCAGGGTAAAAATGAATTTAATGCCATTAAATTCATTTAAGCCTTTTGAATATTGTCATCAATGGAAAGCTTGATTTTAGCAATGATTGGACTGCAGCTTAGTGTTAGCGAAGCTAGTATGGAATAAAAATTCATTTATTGCAACTAAATTTCTTGGAATTTAAACATTAAACCATACATTTGCAGTTCAAAACATTTTAGAGATGGCTTTTAATTAATCCAATATTATCATGATTCAAGATATGGAAAATGTTTTGGCTTACATAAAAGAAAAATATACTGTTGCTACCTGCATTAAAAAGGAAAAGGGAAAATATTGCCACATTAGCTTTCACATTCTGGCATTAAATGAGTTGTTTGTTGAACAGGATTGGTTTGAGCAGTATCGGGAACGTGTGATTGAGGCAGAGCAAATGATACTGACTACTTTAAATTTTGAACTTAACGTACAGCATCCATATGCTCCTCTTACGTCCATTCTTAACAAATTAGGCCTTTCACAAACTGCCTTGGTGAATCTGGCGTTAAACCTGGTCAGTGAAGGGTAAGATTATTTTTAACGCATTGATTTCACTGGTTATTTTTTAGTTGAAGTTAATTTTTCAGGTGTAATATGCTTGTAAGGATTAGTCAGTTTAGAAGTATGATGGATTGCTTCATTTTAAACTTTACTTTTATGCGATACACAATGGTCTTATTAGATTACATGTACAATGATTATGATCCTTCTGCCTTTTCGTGTACCATTTTGGTTTAGTTATTTTGTTGTGATGTTTGTATTTTTCCACAGTAGTATAAGAATAATGCTCAGATAGGGATGTGTTTTTGTGGCTATGATTGAGTAGCTACTTTATATGCTTGGAGTAATGGTTGTTCCAATCCCTCCAATCAGCAAACTTCACAGGGTTTCAACTTTAAATGGATTTTGGATGGGGTGGGTCCCATGTAGTCCCTATAAATTGGTTGAAAAAAATGAGTTGGGGCATGAAGAAGTTTTTTCAGGTTATCTTCTTCTGTCACATCCAAAAATGTTTTCTTCTGTCCATAAGTTTCTTCTTTAGCCCAGCTACTCCTAGGTACTTATTTTGGCATGGGATATTGATTCTTTTGGCATGCATATAATTGCAGGGTCGTTACAAGATTAGCGTGCTCGCCTGTATGATATTGTTAGCTGGCGGATTGATGTGCTGTTCATGGAAAGTTTTGTTATTACATCTGAAGTTGAACTGCTGATGTTTATGATTATCTTTCCTATGATTTAACCCCCATCATTTTGGTCATGGCTATGAAAGCCACATAACCTACAGAAAGTAGTCTTGTTATTTTACTTTTAACACCTTTCCTTTTTTGAGTTTCAGTTTATTTGGAAGCACTTCTCTGGAGTCCATGCACAAACTTTGAGTTTGTGAAATCTGGCTGCCTCCCAGCTTGTTTCCATTCCACACTGATCTGAAGAAAAATTATTGATTTGGAAGGGTCAATAGTGGGGGTTTTCCTTCTTTTTTCTTTAAAAAAAGATAATATAAACAATGTATTGATCTGGTGATGATTTTCCAAGTTATGGAATCATGGTTTTTCATTATCAGCCTACCTTTTTTCCCTTTAAAAAAAGAGTTTTTTATTTTTGCCAAATTCTAATTTTGATTCACCAATTTGTCTAGTTTTTAAAAAGATTTTTAAATGGGGGCTTCCAGTTTGATTTTGCCTATGGCGGTGTCTTTCTAATGAAAAATAAAAGATCTTTCCAAGGGTTGGTTATTATTTAAAAAAATTTTCTTTTCTGATTTGAGTACCAGCTGGATGAGTATCCTATGTCTAGGCTTCAGTCCTTTCAAATTTAGAGTCTATGCATACTTGTTGGATTATAAACTAGCATGCAGTACCAGTCATTTGGGATGGGTTAGTTGCAAAAAATAGATTGGTCTGGTAGCATGGCACGAAGCAACCAATTCCAAAATATAATAAAAAGACATAAACTTGCATCTTCAAGTTCTATTTGTCTTAGTTCAAACACAACCCAGTGATTCTCATTTAAGTTTTCTCCATTCCTTCTGATCAGTTTTTAAACCTTGAATTGAGTAATATCTTGTGGTTGAATTCCTTGGTGTTGATAAATATAGAGTTTGTTTGGCTTTTGGGAAGATTCTTGTTTTGAGAGTAAATTGTTAGTTTGACATCTATTTTCTTTCCTTCTTCCCTGCTTTTGAAACATCTCAGCTGTATTATCCTTCCCTCGTATTTATCTGTCTGTGTCTCAGCAGAAATGATTTGGTTGTATTAATTTTAGTTTAAAGCCAGTTAATTTGCGTTTTAAACTGAATTTTGTCAATTCATTTAGGTTTTGTCATCTTTCAATTATTCTATCTTTAGACACTGCCAACCCTGCTTTATGTGGGTAGTCAACAAATATGTTTAAGTATATTCCACAACTATATAAATGCTTACACTAATACCGTGATACCTACATATATTTAGGTATATATATTATTTGATAGAAGATTGAGAAAAATACAAAGATGAAAGATGCATTGTCCTTTTAGATTATCCAAAAGAAGTCTGCGAATTAAATGAAAACCTCTCTGAATGCTAGTTTACACTTGTATCTTTTGGAGCCAATTGCTGTTGCTTGATAAGCTTAAATGGCCTTATCGCTTAGAGCACTTCGGCAATGCTGGATGTATGACCAAACCTATGAACTGAAGTTGTTGAGATTATGAATCTATCAGTTATAAATTCTGAATATGTTACCCCGTACTTAGGCTCAGCCAAAAGTGCATATCATTTGGGAATTTACAGTCAATTAGAATAGACAGTATGAAGCCTATCTCAATGGCTGTGTAGTACTAGACGGCCTGAATTCTTTAATTTCTTTTTGGATCAGGCTTTGACTGGCAATATATTAGTAGGACTTGGTCATTCTTAGGACTGGGTCTTGTGATTATTCAATGCATGGTGCTGGTTCAAGACATGGCATATTCATTTACTGCTTGCCGTTTTGTGAAAGAATGTTTTTCCAGTAAGCAAGAGGAGATTGATAATTATAGAGAGAAGTTATGTGCGTCAGATGTGTTCGAAAGTTATTTATCCTTGTCCGTGTTGGTTCTTCCACCTCCATACAAGCTGGGCGCTTTATGAGTCCAAACTATGAAGAAAAGTAAATTTATGGAAATTACGCATATGCATGCATATGCATATACGTATATGTATACATATACATCTATATATATTCATATACATTTATATATAAATATATGTACATGTATGTGTGTGTGTGTACACATGTTTTGTATTTTTACCCCATCATCATCTTTTTATTACTATTATCTATAGTAGGTACCCCACTGCCCTCATTGCATTTGCAACCATCTAGTTCTCCCCATTTTAACTTTTTTTGAAAAGTTTATTCTTTTTAAACCATTTTCTTTTCGTTTTTAGTCTTTTGTTTTTTTTTTTTGGAGCTTTGGTTTATTAACAAAGGTCATCTGTATATTCTATTTATATAATATTTTACACTGGTTTATATGAGTTATATCTGTACACTATTAACACAGCATTATATTGTACCTTATGTTATATTGAGTAGGTTACAAATATTGCTCATAGCTTCATCCTTGCCTGCCTTAGTTCTATAATTGTGGTAGCATGCATACTCCATGAGCAGTGAGGCTTGCTTGTTGATTAGCCTGTTCAGATAACTGATGAGCTGAAGAGACTTGCTCTGAAATCTACATTGCGCTGCTACCTCTGTTTGTTTCATGTTTGATTTGTGTATATTACTGGAGTTAAAAGCACAGCAGATTGGGGTTCGAATTGATGTGTTCTCTAGATGGGTATAACATGTGTGCTATAGTTTTTGTACTCTATCAGCCATGGTGCAGAGAATCTTGGAAAAAATTCTACTTGGGTTGGTGCCCTTAGTTGGTAAGGAAAAATGACTTGTCTTTATTTTTCACTTCAAATCGATGCTTTGATTATCTATTTTATTATATGTGTTTGATGTGTGGCTTCTGTGGTAATATGTTCTAAGTTTACAAGACATTTCCTCTTCGTTTCAGGCTCCCACGGTTGGTTTATAATTGTTTGTTACTCTCCACATTTGATAAACAATGATGGCTGTCCTGTTCTAATTTTCCTCCACGTTTTATTTGAATATTGTGTGAAGTGTGACTTCTATTTTTCAGGCTTAGGAGCTCATTGTGGCTACAATTTAAACCCCATCATATTGCTGCCGGAGCTGCTTATCTTGCCGCCAAGTTTCTAAATTTTGATCTTGCTTCTTACCAGGATATCTGGCAAGAATTTCAAACAACACCGGCTATTCTCAAAGGTAATCTGTCCACTATATTTATAAATATTTGAGAATTTGCATTGGATTTACGTTGTCATTGCACGAAAATGGTTGAACCCCGAATGGTTGGAACCCACCTATTTGCCTCCTCTAGCAGCCATTATGCTTGCCACCTTGCGTTCAAAGCTTTCTACCGAGAGAGAGACGGAGAGAAACTTGATTTGTATCTATTAAGTATAATATGAATAATCATGTCATTTTCCGTTTGATGCAGATGTTTCACAGCAATTGATGGAGCTGTTCTAAAAGGATAACAGTTAACAGGATACAATTACAATGCGTATCAGATTTATTGTATGTATGTATGTTCCCTGTTTAATCTTAGTCATTAGAATGTGTTAAGGATGCCGGGGAATGGAGATAATCTTGGTCTCTGCATTACAGGTTAAAGAATCTGTCACCTCGCATGTATCTGTATTCGCAATGGAATATCCACATTTACTTGAAAGGAACTCACTTTTCCAGTTCTTTTTCATGTTACCTCTAACCAAAGCTAATTATAAATTAATCACGGTAAGATCGATATTATACGAAATCAATTTAATCTTATATAAGTTTTGAAAATACGTCACATGAATTTTAACACGGTATTACCCGTGTCAAACGTCTTATACATGTTTGACAAATTAAAATGGTTTTACATGAGTACACATTAAATACACGTTAAATACGTTTTAGGTATATGAAACACATGTTAAACATGTTTTTATATTTATTTTAATTTAGTATAAATCCATAAAACCTATTTTAAATTTTTTAGATAAAAATTACTTTAAAATTTTAATTATGATATTTAATTACATTTTTAATATAATAATACAAAAAACATTTTAAGAATTTAATTACTATAAATTTATTATTTTATATTAGCAGTATAATTATAGTATAAATAGTAATGTTGGTATGATTGTAACTCATTATTCAGTAGTTTAATATTTTAGATTGGCTAGTCTTCAAATAAATAGTTATGTACAAAATTACGATTTGATTGTTTTTATTCTTTTGTTAAAAATTATTACAGTAAAAATACAAAATTTTTGTTGATAATAAAATGTAAGGTTTTAATTAGATTTGATAATTTGTATTATCATATTATGTTTCATGTTAAATGTGATTTGAAACATGATATGAATAATTGAAATATAATATAATGTAAATAATTAAATATATAAAAAATTTTAAATATATTTATTATACTATTACATTTAAAATTAATTTATTTAATACGGTTAAACACAATTGGATATGACTAACATATCTATTAATCTATTTGTAACATATTTAAACTAAAGAATATTATTTAAATTTTATATGAAAATGATACAATTAGTATAATTATTAATTTTTTAAAAAATAATTATTTAAATAAAAAGTAATTTCTATTATTATTAACATTAAATACAAAATATTAATATAATAAAAAAATATATATTGTATATCAACATAATAAAACTCCTTTGGTACGAGATTAAAAGCATGATGCTTATGTTACTACTAGTTGTTGGCTTTTCTTTTATGTTACATGTAGTTAATTAGTTTACGAGTAAATAGCACTTATGATTTCTAAATTTTTGATCAAATTTCGTTTTGGTTTTTAAATTTCAAAAAATTTTAATCGAGTTTTTAATTATCAAAATTCTTTGTTACCATAACCATTTAATTTAACGAAAGAGGGCAAGTGATACCACGTGTTAAATAAGTGAAAATTAAAAAAAAAAAAATTAAGCATGGGAAATTAAAGAAAACAAAGAAAAAACAATAAAAAAATAAAAACAAAAATAGAGCATCTCATATAAAAAATCCCTAGCCTTGATTCTGTCCAACTCAACTAGAGCACAGACAATTTCACCTTTATTGTCACCAATGTCAATCACACCAACCTTCACCTCCATCACCACCACCTCTACTATAGCCTACCTGAAACACAGACGCCACCAAATAACCTCCTCACCTAACCGACAGAGACTCACCCCACTTAGCAAAAAACCAACAAAAAAATAACGGAAAATTAGGAAAACCTAACCATTGTTTTTCTAAACAATAAAAAAATAGCAAAAGGCACAAAAAACCTCAACAAAAAATAACTTAAGAAAGATTATTTCAAGTTTTCCTAGTTTGGAGGAGATTTTTGGCTTGAAAGTTGTAGGAAAGGAATAGCAAGGAAAAAGCAATAACACACTAAAATTGAGTCATTTAGAGCTGCGGAAGGTAATTTTTTTTGGCTCAGGCCATGGTTTTTGCTTGTAGATCTAGGTGATTGGGAGCTGGTTTTGAGAAAACCATTCAGATAAATATGAAGAAAAGGAAGAGAAAAAATTTGGGTGAACTTTGGAAGTAAACTGGCACTGGTCGACCGATGGTTTCTGGAGTTTAGGGTGGCTGTCCGCATTTGTTTCAACGGAGTAAGGGTTTTGTTTTTTTTAGTGAGAAAGTGTAAGTTATAGAGAGAATGAATAAAGAAAGAAAGAAGAAGGAAAAAAAGGAAAAAAGAAAAAAGAAAAATGGTTTTTTTTAATTTCACATATTTCACTTTTTTAGTTCTATGTATTAATTTTTTTTTTTAATCCCACTTTAGTATTTTTCGTTAAATTAGATGATTCTGTTGAGAGATGGACTACATTAGAACATATTTAAGTAATTAAGATCTGATTATAATTTTTAAAGTTTAAAAATTAAAATAAAATTTGACCTAGGAGCATGAATGCTATTTACGCCTACTTTATTCATACTCCTTTTTTCTTCTAAAATTCACAAATCTCTTTCTTAAATAATTATTATTTTAATCACAATGTAATTGATTAATTAATAAGATCATCATATTACCTTAAGCATATATAAAACTCAAAGTACAATGCTTATATTAATTAAATTACCTTATATAAATGCATCGTTTATATTTATTGACACGATAACATAATAAAAATATGATTAATTAAATGTTTCTTAAGCACGCTACCTATGTTTGACACAAAATATGATATAAAAAGTATTTTGTTTTAAATATATCAACATAATTAAAACATAAAATATGATTATATTAAGTTTATACACAATTTACCTGTGTTATTTTTATATCAAGTTATTACTTTGTGCCTAAAATTATCATATCCAATTTTAGTTTTCATTTATATATAGATTAATTAAGTAGTTGCACCGTAATTTGTGTTATATTTTAATTATTTGTTTATTTTTAATCAATTTATAATATTATTATTTATTTCTCGAGCAAAGCTCACGATCGTGAGGAAGAACCAAAGAAGGAATCTAGACGTTAGGAATAAAATCCTAAAATTTACGTAATTCCACAATTTTGGATAACTGAACCATTTGTACTAAAAACTAAATTCAATTGTAAATTAAACTTTAGTTTTAAATTAAATACAATAATGATGAGTAAGTGTATTTTTTTTCTTTTTAATGAAGCAAGTTTTATTAGTGATAAAGATAATACTAAGATCTTTAATTTATTTTTTTCATAATATACTGGCTTGTTTTGGTTTGTTAATTTAAATTATAAATCATAATGTAATGTATAAATCATTATGATAACATACATATATCAATAATTTATTTTATATACTTTATTCAAAATTACATAATAATAGAATATCAATTTGATATTAAAAATAACACAAATTATAATTTATAAAAAACATTTATAATGATAAGAGATTATATAATTTATTCTAAATTATAAAATATGGTATTATTATACATTTAAACTATAACAACATATTTATCTTGAATAACATGTATAATTATAAACGATTATACAATTTATTCTAAATCATATGTATCTTCATGAGAATTAAAATTATCTAATTTATTTTGTATCATATTATTATTAATTCAAAACTTATTTTTAAATCATA